AATGTATGGTTTTTAAAATTTCAGTAGCCCTGCAGAACAAGCCTGAAGACTTGTTTAGTAACCAGGCCTCAGTTGTCCCAGGCTAGTTGGCTACTTGTTAGTGTTGAACCCTGAGCTATCACTATGAACCTCTAGGTAAAAGTCAGTATCACATAGCATCCCACGCCAGAGTGTATCTCTGAATGTAACATCCATGAATGTCTGGATCAAGTTAAAGTTTTATCTTTATGAAGGAATGGAACTGTTCTGAAATCTTATGTCCTGGCTACTATGAAAGAAACATTTAGTTCACTTGCAGTAGAGGACTACGTGCATTAGTAGGCTTCCCTGGTTGCATTATTCATTATCAATCAAGTTTGAACAAGGGAAGCTTATTTGGAAATAGACTGCTTAGCAAGTGTTACCTAAAAAATTAGAGGTCACATGCAGAATTCAAAGGAAGTCTTGTAGTGTGCACACTTTCATACATCATCTATGCATGTATTGTTCAAATCCTGGTCATACAACGAGAATTAATCTGCTCTAAAAACTCTAAACAGGGAGGTTGCAAAGGCAACATGCAGTTTATGCTGTAAAGCAGAAGTTCTCCCCAGCTGAAATTTTGACATTTTAGAAGTTATTTTCAACAACATATCAAGAGAAATCTCAAACTTCCAGAGGTTATGCTAAATTCTTGGCATTTTGAGAAGATACAATTGCAAAGTAAACATTTCTTAGTACTCAGTCACTCAAAATTAGCAGTTTGTTATGAATTCTATGTATAAATATTACTACTCAATTTAAAAACCTTTACATATTTGTGTCTTATTTTTAGATATGACTATTAAATAAACAGAAAGACTGTATATATGTACAGCCATAAATTAATTACAATTGTTTATCTTTATATTAAATCCTTGATCAAAATATCAGCTGAACTGTACAGTACAAAACATGCCAAGAAGACCTTTGGTTTGAAAACCATGCCCTATGCCCCATTGACAATTCCATCTGACCCTGTCAGGGTAAGCCATGCACTTTAAGACAGTGACAGGTGAAAAAAACAAAGGAATACCATGGACAGAAGATTCTGTCATCTAGATCAGTGTATAACTCTTCTATCAAGCTATCTACAGTATATAATTCTTGTAAGTCTATCAAACTATCCCAGATAAAGGTCAAACCCCTAAATCAGATCACCTGTCATTGATTCAAAAAGAAAAATAAAACCTAAGACGAAACGCAGACCACACATGCTTATATCACAATAAATTGTGATTTTATCTGTCTGTATAAGGTTAATCCCTGATCATCTCGGACTCGGAGACATTTCTTGTCATTATTTGATTCTTCAAAGGAGCTCTAAAGAAAATGTCAGGGCAACTTATATAACAATGCAAATAAATATAAATGAATACTAATAATTTCTACTGTTGGAATGACTTTTGTTGTGCGTGATAATTATGAATCAGACAAATGAATTAGATGCTCTCTCTCTCTCTATATATATATATTATATATCTATATATATATAGTGCATAATGAAGACCCTGACTTATGTGAACAGGTTTCTTATCTTCTACGTCACTCCAGTAAGATTTTGGAGATACTTCAGAGTTGTTAACCATGTACTTAACCACCTTTATATGCTTCTTCATTTTTCCTTTAATGCACACATTTCCCTTAATAGTCTGAATAATTATTGAATCGATCAAGAAACAATATATGCATAATCTGTTTAAGCCAGTCTTTAAAGTAAAGAAACTTTTGATAGGGGCCATGGCCCTCTTGAACTTTGAAGATCAATGGTACTCTCCTTAGGAATTCCATGTCACCTTATCAACTGATCTTGACGCAGGCAGCCACATTTTGATTCTTCTGTACCCATTACAAACAGACATATTGACCAGAGTATAACAACTAACTCTTAACAGTTATTGACAGATTGCTATTAATTGCTTTAATTATTGATTATACTGTCCTTCTAGAGTTTCACAAAATTGTCACAATGTAACAGACAGCGTAGAGCCAATAAGGTATTCCAGACGTAATACCTAATCCAGTCCATGTAATATCCCAAAAGTCATGTCAATCTATTGATTTATCAATGCGATTAAATTTCATCAATGTCTGCTTGTAAAAGAAAGAATGCTAATTACACCAAGAAAAAAAAAATTAACCTTTTTAATCTTAACGAGGAGGGAAATATGTGAAGGACACATTTTTTAGCTGCCCTCTGAGCGATGGCACTTCATGATAAATGGTGCACAATAATAAGGGGACATCTGATATGTCTTCAGAGCATTTTCAAGACCCCGCTGCACAAATTTCTCAAAATGTAACAATGTGCACATAGAATAGGTTGTGACACCTGCTCCTAAATTTGACCATCTAAATGAGGCATGCTTAAATGACAGTAACCTTAAGTCAGGTCAAATTGACTGTAAAATGTGCTACAAAACAGTGTATCAAACAAAAACAAAAACAAAAAAAAAACAACAAGCAATCAGTCACCACAACCTAGATCCAAGGGACAAAATGCATATTCATCTTTATCCACAGCATGCTCATGCATTGAATTAAATTTAATCAAAAGCAGTACATGAAATCTGCTAAGAATATATAGCTTATAAACTTCTACAAAGAAAAGCTTTGTTTTTAATCAACAACCAGTAAACTGTTTCTAAACAATTTTCAAACAAACAGGCTTTAAGCAAAAAACCTCTCAATTTCTGCCTTTGCGCTAAAATAACTAAATGTAAAACAATTAAATTAGACCTTACAACATCAAATGATTTTAAAATGCTATAAATTCTACAGTTGCAGTATTTCATTGATGTCAAACTTCTTTGAAGTTGTACTCTTTAGGGATCATAAAACTTGGTTAATCTTTGAACATTAAGGTAGTTACAAACACTTCAGGTAAGGCTCACACCTTAACAGGTGTCAAAATGAACCGACTGAGGTTCACATCTCTACCGTACGTGGGGAGAAAAACAGAGACTTTTTTTTTTTATTTTTTGTCTACAGAATGAAAAAAAAAATCTAGTCAAGAATAAGCTTTTTTTTTTTAAATAAATTTGTGCACAATGTTCATAATCAAAGAAAACTTTAACTATAATGACAGGCCTTTACTTTGGAGTTAAACAAACTACTGACAGATAATTTAAACATGATGAAATATGCAGGACTTCAGCAATTATATAATAACAAAATGATTTATAAAAAAAAAATTATTCTAATAACATAACTTACTGAAATATTGGGAGTATATATATTAATATAGAATTGAAAAGAAACAAAGTAAATTCTTATTGAAAAAAAACTTAAACCTAAAACCAGTGCTGCTATAAATTACCCAGAAGAAGAATAATCCACAACATAGTCCCCATGTTTCCTTAAGTGCTTCAAGATTAATAACAAGAAACAAATAGCACAAATCATATAGAGCTATTGATTGACTTTAAATATTGAAAACGACGAGAAAATATTGATATTTAACAGGTGAAACAAGCAGATAAATCCATTTACTGTAATCAATGAATAAAGAAAAATGCATCAGTCTCTTGAATCTGAAAGAAGGTGCCAGCATTTATTTGTATCTTCAGAAACATTCAACAATATTTAAATATTATCAACCCAAACCCACTCCTGTCATACAACTTCATCTGCTAATTAAAATCTTATGCTCCAGAACTAGTTGTCATTTTAGTTCAATAGGGACTAACTAGAAACTATTCAAGTGTTGATTACATTATGGCTGTTATGCCTTTTTCAAACAACACGTCACAATATGTTGTATCGTGGGTACACCTTATACTTATTTTCCAGACTAAGCTAACAATGTGTTGTCTTCATTTTTTTTCTCACTTGCATATTTTGAATTGATAAAACTCCTACTGAATCTGTGGGTGTATAAATTGATACTTACACAATTTCCACAAACCTGTAAACTATAATTGCCAAATATTCAACCCTGAATCCCTTTAAAATAGATTGTAGCAAAGCTGACTTTAAATGAGAAATTGATATAGGAAGTTAATTATTGTTTACAGAAAACTTTGAGACTGTGTTGTAAGAAAGACCATTAATATCCATTGTCTTTTCCTGACTAACAGGAAATATCAGATGATTCAGTGCGGAATCCACAGTGGTAGACCTGCAGTGTTGGAATCAATTAAAACTGTTTTATCATTGATCACAGATCAATTAACACCTCCTATCTCTCAATACAAAACAACTTTATTTTGTGAACCACAATGACAAGTTTCAAATCATTTAATGATCTAAAAACAATATTTTCTTATCACTTGATGTTTTACAAAGAAACATGTCCCAGTGGTCGTCTATTGATCTCTTCGTGACTAGGATCCAAGACGATCCTTTACTTTTCTGGGCTCGTCATTTGATTAACAGTCAAAAATACTCAAAAACAAAGCTCATTTCTAGATAAAAACATAAAATATACTATAGAAATTATCTACCAAAACTGAAAGAGTAACACTAAAACTCCATTGCATTCCTATGATATACACAGCAGCATTAATTGTGTGTTTCATGCAGATATCAACGTTACATATATTTTGTGTAACTACTAATGACCGAGATATTCATCATTACTTAAATGGATTCGAGATTGTTAAGATATTATATGACAAACTCCAAAAGAATAAAGAAATTAGAACTGTCCTTATAAAATGTATCACTCCCTTCCTGCAGCATCATGATAATATTAACAAAGATGTCTGAGACTCAATTTCAAATTAAAGCATACTGCAACTTAAATTTTAGTGAAAAATTAATTACCAAAATGTCACATTTACACGATGAATACTAAACATCATCACAAAGTAACAGTTACATCTTCCAATGGCCCGATCAACCAGTAAGTGGAAACATTCATTGTATATCTGTGTGTCCATGGATAAGTGACGATATTTAGTATACAATAAGTGCATATTTTAAATTAGATCACCACAAGTAACCTAGCAAGATATTGATATGAACTTTAATATACTTACTGTACATGCATCCAGCCTGAGAATGCAGTTGTTGCCACCCATGACAACACTGGTATTTTGTGACATAAAACCTCCTGTAATCTTGTTTGTATGCCGTGAAATATTGAGTTCTGCAAGAAAAACAAAACTAAATAAGAAATATCGACCATACTTTTCTTCATGCATTTACTATTTGATTTTCAAAATTTCTATTATTGCCAGTGTAAGAAATCTAAGTTTTTCGGTTATTTAAAACAAAGGAAATCATTAAAGAGTTTCTATCATGACAGGTAATAAAGGACATACACAACGTAGCTTGAACTCTTCCGCCATTTGTGTGTGTTTGTTTCCCGCCAAATGTCAGGAAAAAATACTAACAGAGAAAACCGAGTTTATCAGTTTCCGGGAATTCAGGAATGGTGTGGCCATCTTTAAAAAATTGGGTTGCCCTCTCCCGACCGACTGGCTAAAAATGACCCGACTCAAAACTTTTTTTTTACTTTAATGAAGCAATTATTTTTTATGTATTCTGGAAAATAGATTTTTAAAATTTAGCATTGAAATTGAAATTTTCTGAGAAAAAAAATTCCTCAACTATCTACCGACCCTATTTTGTCATCCTGAGTCGGGAGAGGGCAACCAAACATTATTTTAAAGTTGGCCTGACAAGCTTTTGTGTATGTGTGTGTATGTTTTAAATTTTATATACTTTAAATTCTATATATATATATATATATATATATATATATATATATATATATATATATATATATATATATATATATATATATATATATATATATCAAGAATTTCTTCTTTTTTAAATCAGGCCTGTAGGAAGCAATTTCAGTTTGGGGGGGGGGGGGCACAGCCAAACATTTTTCAGTTGACAGTTGAGGGGGCAAGCAAAAAAAAAAAAAAAAAAAAAAGGTCATCAGGCGTTTTTATTGAGGGGGCACAAGCTTATAGTATCTATGTTTACAATAGTAATCTATATATCGGCAAAATTATTGGGGGGCACGGCCCCCCCCGTGCCCCCCCCCCCCGGTTCCTACGGCCATGTTAAATGAATGTCAAGGTTTAATCTCACAATGTACAATAGGTAGAACCTTGTTTTTTTTTTCTCAAGATTTTTAATGACGGACCACTGATCGACCTTCTCAGCTGCAAGTTTCGTGGTGGTTACATACTCTCCGGCGCACATTTTCTCGTTAAATAACGAGGGCACTTTATAAATACCGTTGCGTTTTTTATAGAACTTGCTTTTTCGTAACTTATTTATTATTGAAACAAACGAAATGAAATCTAACGACAGTGATTAGTTAGAAATCACGCCAATTTCCCGTTTTTTTTCTGCAGAAGCAGGGCGTACTTAATCTTTTGGAAGTCATTACTTATTGGAAAGAGTCCTTAATTTCTGGTTTTCTTGTAATAAGTAATTGGATCGATGCTTTGGTTAAATCTAAATTGCTCCTTTTGTTTTCTGTATCGCATCGCTATGGATTTTTCTGGCAGTTCTATCTGTAATCACACAAACCTCGACATAAAATATCTCAAAACATGGGGACTAAAATAGGTCAGGAGTACCACTCCCAAAAACACACCCCCTTCTTTTTTCCGAATCGCAACATTTAATAAAGTGTCCATATCTAAAAAAAAAAAAAAAAAAAAAAAAAAGATTATTTACAAATTCCATAATGGTATCAGTGTATACTGATGCTTCCAAAATTTATTTTCCTTTTTCTAGTCGCTCTGATTTCCTTTTTTTCAGTTTATGTGTAAAGTAAATAAGTTATTGCATTATACTTCGGTCATTTCAGTGAGGAAATTGGATGAGTATATATGAAAACATCCTCACAATGTCAAGGTTTTGTGATTTCGGAACTCCACACACAAAACCTTGACATTGTGAGGATGATATGAAAAATAGTTGGAACGATGATGCCCCTGCTCAAGTACCCTTAGCTTCTAAAATGGATATTCCTATTTTCTATATAGCTGGGACAATCATTATTCAGCCTTTAAAATCACCCTACCTCCCAAGTATCTCCCTTGTTTTCATGCCCCTAGATCGAAATTCCCGGGGTATATTGTTTTTGTCCTGTCTGTCTGTTTATCTGTCTGTTTAGCTGTTTGTCTGTCTGTCTGTTGTCAACTTTAACCTAGCCCATAACTATTGCGCTGTCAAGGATAAGGCTTTAATATTTGACATGAGTGTTCATTATGACAAGACCTTTCCATTGGTACAGAAATTTTTGATCATGTGACCTCAACTGTGACCTTTGACCTACATTTGAAAAACTTTAACATTGGCCACAACTATTGCACTGTAGTCTACGTCCCACTCCAGAATTGTGTTACCATCGGGGGCATAGTGTTTCACAAACACATCTTGTTTTTTTTTAACAGAGTATGGAACGCATTTACCTTCTCTCGTGTCCGATGCACCAGTTCCTGGATTTTCCACAGTTTGGTTTCCAGACTTTGACGAGCCTCGTGAAGGCCTGGACACAGGGTATTCTCACTAGCTTTGTCTCCACATCTTGGTAGGGACAGACATTTGGCCTAATGACAATATAATGTACAACATATCAACACTGATCAACAAAGATAATGAAAGTATCTAAACTTTAATTGGAAATGGAAAAACATCTCTTTTGTAAACCACATCTCTTTCATGGCAAGGTTTTTTTCAACAAGAAAAAGCTCACATTTCTCTTCAACGTTCATTCTGGTATCATGTTGTAAATTTTTAATTGACTACATGGAGTTAAATAATCATGTTGTAAATTTTGAATTGACTACATAGAAGTAAATTATCATGTAAATTTTGCATTTACTTCCACCTAGAAAATAAAAAAAAATTACACGTTACTGGCTTCGATGGCCATGACTTCTTTAGATTTAATCATATTTATCGTAACGAAATTATATTATAGTTTGATTTATTTCTTCTTTAAACTTCTCTAAAAGAGCATATGAAATGCTAATTTCTATTAAATCTTAGTAACATTTTGACCAGGTATTGCTGCATTACACAAATCCATAGAGTCAATGTTTGAAGGAAGAAAATTATTTCGAATAATTGTTGTACTAGTGTAGATATGTCCTTTTCATAACTTTTATCCATATTGTAGCCCTGACCTGGCCCCGGAGGATGTCTATTATTGTCTAAAGTGAATTTGAATACAATAGTTACTTGAATGCCTGTTAATTTGATTAATTGCTGCTTTGCCCTTCTTGTAACGATTTTTAACAAATTCGTCCCATATAAAATAAAATTTTGACACCCCCCTCGTGCCCCCCCCCCCCGCCTCCATATAGTATCCATTATTTGAACAAATTCGATTCCATACTATATGCGACACCTTTCATCACAGTTTTTTTTTCTTTTTCTTGTCCCGTGATTCTTGAAAATGAGCTTATAAATACATGATATCACCATAATTTTACAATTTGTTCATTATCTGTTTTTGAAAGGGGTATGGCCTATTCTCTGATAAAACTTTAATTCCTTCACTATGGGACGTGTTCAATCCAAGCATTTGATACTCAAGAAGAACTAAAAAAAAGTGAACAATTTACAGACTACTGTCGGACGACAGGAAGACGGTGATCTTCCATCAAAAAAGTTCACATGACACTGGCAGATTTAGAAGGGGGCCCAGCCCCCCCCCCCTTTTGTGTCCAAATATATGCATAAGATGTAATACACCAAGTTCTTCTGTGTGGCTCCTGGGCCCCCAACATGACCCCAAACTGCCCCCCCCCTTTGCAAGAATCCTGGACACGCCACTGCATGAGCCTCTGACTCGGATAAGAATTCAAAAATTTACATTGAATAAATAATCATATATTATTTGCTTGGTTTCAGTTAAGATAATTCTCCATACCATAAAATAGATGTTTTTCATAATACATTTAGATATTCGTTGTTCTTATCAGAGAGATCCTGTTGTGGAAAGAAGGGGGGGGGCACAGTCCCTTTTTTATTTTAAACTTTAAATATATGTAGCAGGAATATTTTTATGTCTGTAATTCCTAGATACTTCCAAGTATTCATCAGAAGATATCTGTATTTATGATCACAATAAAAGGGCCCTTGGTACAATCTAAGTAGTCTCAACAATTAACTACATGATCTGTCTATAACGTGGAATGGCGCTTTAGGTGACAATCCGCACTATATGCACCGTAGCCTTAATTTAGAACAGTCTTAAAAAATGATTTGTATATTAAAATGTGGACAAATATTTTGACAATCTAGTCACTCTGGATTTTAGATACAAAGGCGGAACATTCGGGTTATTGTATGTTAATAGATTACAACACGCGAGATGACTGACAGTCGATATGTATCTTCTGGGCCATCGGAACACTGGTAAAGGGGGTTACACAAATAGTAGGATCACACCCCATAACATACTACAGCTGTAATTTGTTTTTTAGATGACATGACATTTTTTCCCCCTTGGTTTGGCTTTGTTATTGTGATGAGAGAGAGAGAGAGAGAGAGAGAGAGAGAGAGAGAGAAATTAATTTCATGCTATTAAGGAGCGAAATCAGCATATCTTTAACATTTTGACTTATCTTTATAAAGACTGGTTGATTTTAAGGCGTGCGTGTTTACAAATTAAGAAAGCGTTTTATGCATGGATTTTAATTTTACGAACGTACTTAATGCACATATCGACAAACATCTATTTAGTGGTTGCAATGTAATATGATGGTTATATATTGGCAATATAACACACCTTTCGCAATTGTGTGCTTTTTAAATAATACATCTCGATAAATTTGTCCGCCTTTCAAGAACGATAAATTAGCATATACATGTATTGTCGGGTGGCAGAATCGTTTCGGTATACCTGTTTGGTAAATATTATTAAACTCAAAGTGTGGGAAATACTTTTTTTTAAGTAAACGTATCACAATTGCATTTATTTACTAGTATATTGAGTACAAGGACAAATGACAGGTAGTATATGAGCTTATTTAACTAGCCTTGAAAAGAGTGTGTTACCATGTTTGAATTTAAAGATTAATTTGTCAAATAAATTGAATAAAGATGCATATTTGTTGCAGTTATATGGACTTACTTTAAATTCTGTTTATAAATATTTTTTCCGATCGTAGTCAAAAGTAAATAGCGACGAACGTGGTGTTTGTTCTTCACAAATGTCAGGAATATAATTTTGAATTTTTGGAAGTTATATTCTTAGGGAAAAAAACACAAGTGTTAATCAAAATTTTCGAAAAATAAAAGAGTCCAGTTTTATAAATTAAATATTAAAGAGTTGAAATTATTTTTTTAAAGGGGAATATATGTAATGAACTTACATGCCAGCACGTAGATTGTACGTCCCGCCACAGGGTACAGCAAAAAACACAAAGAGGATACAAAACAAATCACAAACACGAAGATCCATTGTTAATCTCCCGCAAAAAAAACGCACTTTTTATTTTCTTAAATACACAAAATACATTTTGCAGGATTTAAACGTATTTCCATATTTTGATGTTGCAATATGCCTGCACATTCAAATGAAACACACTCCAAACATTTAGAAGAACGAATCATGAAAACTTTAATATTTCAGAATTTTGGATAAGTTTAACTGTTTTTGTCTATGTGGTCAGCTTAGCGTAAGAAGTAGATTGGACAAAATTCCACAATCTGCACGGATCGCCACGCTTAAATAAATCACTCGTCACTCATCCCGGCAATTTAACGATGTTTTTAAAAAGTTTAAAAATCTAAACCAATGAACAAAGTCTTATTACACAGGCCACTTCAATTCAACTTTTTGTCTCATTACTTCTGAAGAAAAGAACAACCCGCCTATTTTCTCTTATTCCGATTCATTTCACGGTAGTCACCGGATTAGCGGATAATAGAAAATCCAAATAGAATATAGCATTCATATAATTTAATACACAATTATCCATACATGTCTAGATGAGTGCGGACGATCAACTGCTGAATGCTTAATTAGCGGGAATGCTTTGATAAAACGCCTCTTGTGTGAGAAACTCCGTAGGTAAATGGTATAAGTGTCGTCCCATAGTGAACGCTCGCCTTTACGTATAATCACTGGGTCTATTCTTGAAGGAATTCTTCCCTTTGCAAAAATTATGTAAGAAGCACTTCGTGTTGAAGATTTATAACATTGTATGATTACCTTGTATTAAAGTGTGCAGAAAGTGACAAGCTGGCATAAAATATCGACAGTACAGATAATAGTCCATATTTACATGCAAAGTTATGGCACGAATCAAACACTAGATAAACAAGAAATTGATGGGGGCATGGATTTTTTTCTCTCTTGGTAGATTGTATATGTTTCAGAGAGAGAGAGAGAGAGAGAGCATTTTCTAGTTTTACCGGAGAACATATTCGATCAATCCTCGTTTGATCAGTTTATCTTGTACTCACAAAAATTAATTTAACTATAATCTCTATAATAAATGTTGGTTTAAATTTGATATGAGTGTCAAAATTATCTTAGGGATATGTAAGCAATGATTTATCTCTATTTAACTAATTCATAACACTCAATAAAGTTTACAACTTAAAAAGTGTATTTAAATACCTATTCTCTCTCATTCACAGTCTCTCTCTCTTTTATCACCTGCTTAGTTCGGCTAAAGCGAATTGGTTTGTTCGTCTCTCTATCTATGTCCGTCAACCTTTTTTGGTTTTTTTTTTTTTGTTTTTGTTTTGTTTTGTGTGTTTTTTTTTTAACATTTTCATCATTACAATCAAACTTGGCACAAATCATCTTCGGAAAAACTTTAACCTTGCCCATAACTTTTGATGAGTTGGAGCTATAGCTTGCATATTTCACATGTGTATTTCTTGTGACAAGACTTTTCTTTGGGTACCACCATATTTGACCTTTTGACCTTGGAAATTGACCCAGTTTTGCAAAAATTTTGCTCTTTGGCCATAACTTTTGAACGGTTGGAGCTAGGGCTTCCATACTTCATATATGTAATCCTTGTGACAAGGCCTTTCTTTGAATACCAACAACTTTGACCCGTCGACACTTGACCTAGGAGTTTGACCTACTTTTGAAAAACTTTAACTTTGACCATAACTTTTGAACGGCTGGTGCCAGGGCTTTCATACTTCACATATGTAAGGCTTGTGACAAGACCTTCCTTTGGATACCAAACTTTGACCCTTTGACTTTGGAGTTTGACGTACTTTTGTAAAACTTTAACCTTGGCCATAACTTTTGAACGGTTGTTACTACGGCTTTCATATTTCACATGTGTATTCCTTGTGAGGAGGCCTTTCCTTGTTCACCATTAGTTTTGACCATTTGAGCTTGACCTTGATGTTTGACTTACTTTTGAAAACTTTAACCTTTTCCATATCTATTCAATGGTTGCTGCTAGGGTTTTATATTTCACAGGTATATTCCTCGAGACAAGACAAGACCTTACTGTGGGGGTATCAACATATTTGATTTGCATTTGAGAAAGTTTAACCTTTGCTATAAGTTACCATCTTGTTTTTTAATTGTGATGCTGGAAGGCATTGACTGTTGTTAAAATATGTGATACTAGAAATTATTTTTATGCCCCCGTAATCGAAGATTCGGGGGCATATAGTTTTTGCCCTGTCCGTCCGTCCGTCTGTCTGTCTGTTTGTCCGCAAAAACTTTAACCTTGCCCATAACTTTTGATTGGTTAAAGCTATGTGACCTTTTGACCTTGACCTTGGAGTTTGACCCACTTTTGCAAAATTTTATGAGACTTCAACCTTGGCAATAACTTTTGAACAGTTGGTACTTGGGCATTCAAACTTCACATTTGTATTCCTTGTGACAAGACCTTACTTTGGACACTAACAACTTTGACCCTTTGAGCTTGACCTTGGAGTTTGACCTACTGTTGAAAAACTTTAACCTTGGCCATAACTTTTAAACAGTTTGTGCTAGGGCTTTCATATTTCACAGTGTATTCCTAGTGACAAGACCTTCCTTAGGATACCAACAACTTTGACCCTTTGACCTTGGAGATTGACCTACTTCAAATTTGAAAAACTTTAACCTTAGCCATAACTTTTGAACAGTTAGTGCTAGGATTTTCTTGGTCATAACTTTTAAACAGTTGGTGTCAGGGCTTTCATACTTCACATATGCATTCCTTGTGACAAGACCTTCCTTAAGATACCAACAACTTTGACCCTTTGACCTTGGAGTTTGACCTACTTTTGAAAAAAAACTTTGGCCATGACTTTTGAACAGTTGGTGTGAGAGCTTTCATATGTCACATATGCATTCCTTGTGATAAGACCTTACTTTAGATACCAACAACTTTGACCCATTGACCTTGACCTTGAAGTTTGACCTACTTTTGAAAAACTTTAACCTTGGCCATAACTTTTGAACAGTTGGTGTTAGGGTTTTCATGCTTCACATGTATATTCCTTGTGACAAGACCTTCCTTTGGATACCACCAATTTTGGCATTGAACTTGACCTTGGAGTTTGACCAACTTTTAAAAAAAAATTAACCTTGGCTATAACATTTGAACGTTTGGTTCTTGTGCTTTCACATTTCAGGATGATGTGTATCACTTGTGACAAGATCTTCCCTTGGGCACCATTTTACCTTGCTATTTTACTTACTTTGAAAAAACTTTAACCTTCGCCATAACTTTTCAATGGTTGGTCCTAGGGCTTGCATATTTCACAGGTATATTCCTCGAGACAAGACCTTTCGTTGGGTACCAACATTTTTGATCTCTTGTCCTGGAGTTTGACTTGTATTTGAGAAACCTTAACCTTCGCCATAAGCTGCCATACGGTGGCATCAGTGTTTCACAAACACATCTTGTTTTTACATATGTCGTCCTGATAGCACATAGCTTGTAAACTGCACAAGAAGTCATACTTGAATTGTCCCTGACCCGAAGGCTGGGCGTGTCCAACATCGATAACTTTCCTTTGAATTTGTTTGAAGCTCGTCGCACATGTAATTATGACGTCGAACTTTTGAGGTATATCAATGCCACAATTATTTTTAAATTAATATTTTTATTCCTTACTTTAATTATAAATTCCTGTTTTTTTTCTAATTTTATATAAAAGCTAAATTTTATTTCATATCTTAATTCTAACTTTCTGTTTGTTTTTGCTCCCTCCAACTTTATCAATATCAGTTTCATATCTTTATTTTTATTTCTTAATTTAATTCCAAGTTCTTGTATTTTACTTTGGCATTTCGACTAATTTTCTTATTTTGATTCTGATTTTAAAATTATGAAATTTATGGCTGTCCTGCTTTTCTGCGATGCTATTTTATTTCATCCTCCTGTCTGCTTTTCCGCTACTGGTTCACACTGTTTTTCCGAGATTGTTTTAACCATAATTTATGCATTATCTCTTTTATTTCATACCTTCAGCGTTTATGCAAATCATCACGCAACCAAGCTGTTTGATCACATCATAACCCCCCCCCCCCCCAAAAAAAAATAAATAGATGGTTCTTCCTTAAATATTGTCCCACTGTACTGAAAAAATACTCCTCTTATAGGGACTTATGCGTGAAACTTTGATTCCCCTCAGATCCGCCCCAATCATGATCTGGAGGAAAAACACTGAATCTTCACCATACAAATGTATATACAAGAGGAGTTTAAAAAGGATTATCTTTCTAAGAAATGACACGGTGAAAAAAGACGGAACCCCCCTGCCCCTTTACAGACCTACACATTTCGACCAAATCATCTGAAAGAATTGAAAGTTATAAGTAAACCAAAAACAGCTGATGATAGTACAGGATACGCAAATAAAGATGTAAATCAAGACAACATGTCTAGAGGTGTGGTACATATGTGTGATGAAGTAAAACAGTATCTAACAACTAATAAGTCTGATGCTCCGTGTCTTTAGGTCGAACAAGAAGGGCGTTTTTCCTCAACGATGAACAGCTTCTTCTCGGCTCTTTCCCATCTTTCAGAAGACCAACCCTCCCTTCATAATGGTCTTGAAAAGAAACCAGAAAGTGGTTTTGTTAGTACACTGAGACGATAAATCCTTTCCAGTAAATTCAAAGGCATCCTCGCAAGCCAGGGGTCCTGAGTCAACACGTTGCCGTTGGACAATGGCAACGTGTTGACTCAGGACCCCTGGCTTGCGAGGATGATTCAAAGGTAAAGAAAAATACAACTATGATGCTTAGATGATAAAACATCCTTTACAGTGACACCTACCAGCCTACAGGCCGAACAACGTAAGCAAAGTCCTTTTAATTCTCAAGATAATGTCCTAGCCCGACTGAAAAGCAAATAATTTTATGCTTAGGTTAAAGGTCAAGGTCAATCATAGGCAAAGACACCATCCTCTCTTCTTGTGATAAACAGTGACACACATGCCAAAAAAATCATAAAAACTAGTTGAAAAAAATGCCAAAGACCTGATCATACGACAAGGATAACGAAAAAGGCTGACAAGAAAATTTTAGTGAAAAGACATTAAACCGTCCTTGAAAAAATGCAATTCGACTGTTGTGGCGACGGTATTATAGTTTTTTTTAAAATAGAAATTAACGTATGGCCGAAGAATAATTCCTCATTTCTTCCCTTGGATTCGTAAATTTACATGGGAAACAGGACCTTCGGGGGTGTGGGTTGTTAAATTACATAAATGATTAAAGCTCCGTGGAGACATAGGAGGCGTGTTCATTTTTTTTCTATGTATTTTTTTCTTTCCTCATATTGTATTCAAGCAGAGTGGAACTGTGCAACCTCCAAATCCTTCTTCACGGAATAAAAAAACTCTACCATCTTTACTCAAACTATTATGTGTATATGCTCTTCAAAAAAGGAGGTCAGAAGAGTCCCCACATCAACAACCAAAACAATTATCATGATGGCATAAATATTTGTCTAGTGCCGAAATTACTGATAGTTACGGGCGTCCATTAATTCTTTATTTTAGATTTAATTTCTGCAATGTAGTAATTGAAGTAATTGACAGTGTCAAGGAGTATTTTTGACACTGTTAGCACCTAAAGTCTGACCAGTAAGTGGTAAGTTGACTAAGTTCTGTCGGCATCACTCGGCCGATCGTACCACGTCTAATCTTGTCTGTATTATGTAAACCACCATTAAACCGAGGCTGTTTAGAGACAAGTTGACTGCGCCCTGTATTGCACGTGTACATGTGCAGATTTCCATCCGTAAAACCTGATCATGTATAGATATTATAAATGCATGTTCCTTGGTAAGTGTTATTCTAAGTGTTACCTTAATGCTCTTGAAGATTTTTATTGAATATCATATGATTGTTTATTATCCTTTCAAAGTGTTACGTTCCCGTAAGTGGTAAACCGACAGCTGTATCACAATTGTTAGGCAAAGACGTATGTCAAGTTATGTCGTACAGCTGAGATTTGATGGTGATGGAATCACCCGAGGTTGCTGAATGTGTCAGCATGGTATAATACTTGCACATGCTTTTAGACAGTTTATAGTTTTTAGACAGGATAAATTTAATATGTTGACCATGCGACCATTAGAGTGAGATATTTGGTACATCTAGAATCTGTCATCACATGAAGTCATATGCAAATTGCATTACCAAACAGAATCCTGAACAGTGCTAGTTTTAAAAAAAACATTTACTATTTTTCTGTAGTATCCATTAAATCATGGTGAGTTAATTTTTTTATTGAACTTTTGTTGTTACTGGGAGAACATAGTTTGTGCGAGATGCAATTCGCAAGGGATTGTGGGTCCATAGGTTACTGCTGAAAAAAATTCATTTGGATCAATGTGTGAGTCTGAATCTTTTCCTGCCCAGGCATTGTCATAAGAGCTTGCAGTGCTAGCTGCACTTGCTATTAATTGGCTGGACAATTTAGATAGAAATTTGTTTTACAGTGTGACCGTTATGGTGAGTGCAATTGTATTTAAGTATATTAATGGATACCATCAAAAAACTATACCATTATCATAGCTTATACTTTTGACTTTGATTCACTCTGACATCAAACTGCATGAGACTCAGTTTTTTTTTAATCTTGAAAATTTGGAGTGGTCCATCTTGAAAAACAACTAAAAAAAAGTGGCCTCACTATATGAAAAACCTGGATGATTTAGGTTACACAAATCATATCATTGGGATGATTTTCTATAAAACATTGAAACAATTTTTTGCCCCTCCCCCCCCCCCCCTTCAACGCAAATGAATTATTTTCCTCTATTTCGGACAATTTTTGAATTATTAATTCTCTACAATATATCAAGCTTTAACTTAACCACAAACCATATATAATATCTATGTAGAAATGTTGGATTGATCTATTTAAGATTTATGATGGTGTTGGATTTAAAATAAATTTTAGAGGGAAACTTGATTTTAGAAAAATAAAACAATGACCTAATTCCAAGCAAAACAAAAAGTATAATACATATACTGGCATAATTTTTTAGGAATATAATAAGCTGTAGATTTATTGCTTTTCAACACAATCATCATCAAACTGTTTATGCATATATGTATCTTAGAGATATTTTCTTAGAAATTTAGAATGAAATAAATATACCTTAGTTATTTTACTGAAAGCTTTGACAAAACTTTTGAAATAACAATATAGTAAAATTGACTGAACTGTTTATAAAAAAAAGTTGTATATGGAAATAAGTTCATACATACAAATATGATTGTATGTATGAAATACAGTTGTGCATAACAAATGTTTTTGGAGAAGGGAAGCTTTTCTATGTGGATTATCCCTCTTGAAAGCAGTCCTGCTGATTCAAACTAAAATCAAAATACAGAAAATAGTTTTTCTATGCAAAAGATCAAGATCTATATATAGTAAAATTTTCTTCATGGGAGAGGATTTTTTAGGTAATCACAAGACGACTTTCTATTTAGAAAAGATTATTGTATATATATTAGAACTGGGATTTAGGACTATATTTATTCTACCTTTTGGAGATGGGAACTTAACCCAGATGAATAGAATATGTTTTCAAATCAAAAACTTCTATCAAATGTCATATCAAACTTAATTATTATTTTTTTATTCCATGGTATTTTCACCACTACACTAAAATGCCTAAAGGTGACCACTCTCCACGCCTATGGTTATGGGGGGGTGGGTGGGGGGGGGGGTGAATAAGCCAAAAACAAAATTGCCTCTGTGACAGGATAAGCTATTACAGGTGCTGTTTTCTCCCACATCTATAAAGACTGCTTTGAATGAAATTATGCAGGTAATCAGTTTTGAAGAAAGGAGAGATTGCATGTGCAGTGCTTTTAAAAATTAAGACATTTATGTTTCTAAATTCACTCCCTCTTTATCCTCTTTATCCTTATTTTTTCCTATCCTTTTCCCATATTACCACACAAAAATTAAAAAAAGAGTGATGGTAAAAAAATTCAAACTCCAGTATTTTGAAATACTAGTAAATGTTTTGTAATCATTGTTTATGTGTTGAATTATTACAATTAATACAGTAATTCCTAATTTGTAGCACAAAATGTCAGATAAATTGAAGAAAAGTGTTCTCAGAGGATGTTTAGATCATCTTCCCACCTTAAACTCCAGAGTTGTACGGATCTTCATCAGCTCCACATTTACAGGTAGGAATCAGTTCAACATTTACAGGTAGAAATCAGTTCAACATTTACAGGTAGGAATCAGTTTAACATTTACAGGTAGGAATCAGTTCAATATTACAGGTAGGAATCAGTTAAACATTTACAGGTAGGAATCAGTTAAACATTTACAGGTAGGAATCAGTTCAACATTTACAGGTAGGAATCAGTTAAACATTTACAGGTATAAATCAGTTCAACATTTACAGGTAGGAATCAGTTCAACATTTACAGGTAGAAATCAGTTCAACATTTACAGGTAGGAATCAGTTTAACATTTACAGGTAGGAATCAGTTCAATATTACAGGTAGGAATCAGTTAAACATTTACAGGTAGGAATCAGTTAAACATTTACAGGTAGGAATCAGTTAAACATTTACAGGTAGAAATCAGTTCAACATTTACAGGTAGGAATCAGTTCAACATTTACAGGTAGAAATCAGTTCAACATTTACAGGTAGGAATCAGTTCAATATTACAGGTAGGAATCAGTTAAACATTTACAGGTAGGAATCAGTTAAACATTTACAGGTAGGAATCAGTTAAACATTTACAGGTAGAAATCAGTTCAACATTTACAGGTAGGAATCAGTTCAACATTTACAGGTAGAAATCAGTTCAACATTTACAGGTAGGAATCAGTTCAATATTACAGGTAGGAATCAGTTCAACATTACAGGTAGGAATCAGTTAAACATTACAAGTGCATGTAGTTAAGAAAGGCAATACAGTAAATTCATTAAACTAAAACAACTTTGTTTCCATTTCATTAATCACACGTACAGTGTTTCGAAATTCAGAATTATTTTCTATGGGTCCAAAGGACCCACAGATAAAGGGACTACACGAGTCCTTCCAGGGCAGCCTAGGCCAAAAAATAATATCATCAAATATTTGGGAAAATAAACTTTTAAGTATTGATGATATCGGTAAGTTTATCGCTTCATATGAAATATGTCAATTTAATAAAGGGTATCTACAACTTGCAAGTATTAACAATATGAAACAGTAAATCATTAATCATCACACAGTCTTACTTGGTCATATGTATAACACGTAATGAGTTTAATATGTGTTTATATTACTGTAAACGTACTTTTCCTCGGAATTACAATTTCTGTTTTAAAATCCGCAGGTACAAAATTACGCAGGTTTCTTAGATTGTCACAATATGTTGATAAAATGTTTGGACAATTTTCCATGGAAAGTTTGTAACTGCTTACATATAGTGTAAATTTATTCCACGCAGAAAAAAGTCAAATCTTATGTATTTATTTAAAATGCACATGAAAAGAAGAATTGATACGATCTTGATAAAAATAACAAGTTTTACCCATCTTCAGTTCAATTTCTTTTAAAGACGCTCATTGGTTAATTTGTTTAATATATCCAATTAAAATGCAGGAAAGATATAAAAGTTATTGAAAATGCATTTACTAATAAATGTTAACTTCAGTCACAACTTCTTAAGCCTTTCCAACAAGCAGTAAAGAAGAATTGTATTTTTCCAAGCTTGCCAGAAAGGTCCGAGAAGATGTGATTGACGTTAACTTGTTCCCGGCAAATCATTGTCGGCCCAAAATTATTTCAAGGACCCATTTAGTCATACTATTTGTGAGTCCTTCCATTTGTACATCGGCGCTGGACCGACGGGCCGACGCTAATTTCGAACACTGCACACATACTGTAATGAATTTTAAATTAACGGTCCTAATTGTATATCCATGCAGATTCTGTAATATCTTCATCAAAAACAAAAACAAAAAGCAACAACAAAACCAACAACAACAAAGAAACAAAACAAACACATAAGCAAACAAAATAAAATATAACAACTAAAATTGAATTTCCTTAAATTATCATTAAATTGCTTTAGTAACATTCTCCTTTATCACTTTGTCAGAATCATGTATCGGTATTTCTTTTTCATGGATTTGTATACAATTGTAGACACAAGAGAAGAAAGAAATATTCTTATTGAAGAAGTATATCCCAGACTGCAGTCCTACTGTAAACAAAACTATGGGTTGGAATTTCAGGTAATTTAGTATCTCAGGAGTCCTGTTTGCTTTCTGGGTTGGAATTCCAGGTAATTCAGGATTTCAGGAGTCCTGTTTGCTTTCTGTTTTGGTGTTTCAGTATTTCAGGTGTCCTGTTTGCTCTCTGGGTTGGAATTTCAGGTAATTCAGGATTTAAGGAGTACTGTTTGCTCTCTAGGTTGGAATTTCAGGTAATTCAGGACTTAAGGAGTCTTGTTTGTTCTCTGGGTTGGAATTTCAGGTAATTCAGTATTTCAGGTGTACTGTTTGCTCTCTGGGTTGGAATTTCAGGTAATTCAGTATTTCAGGTGTACTGTTTGCTCTCTGGGTTGAAATTTCAGGTAATTCGGTATTTCAGGATCCTGTTTGTTCTCTGGGTTGGAATTTCAGGTAATTCAGTATTTCAGGATCCTGTTTGCTCTCTGGGTTGGAATTTCAGGTAATTCAGTATTTCAGGATTCCTGTGTGCTCTTTGGGTTGGAATTTCAGGTAATTCAGTATTTTAGGAGTCCTGTTTGCTCTCTGGGTTGGAATTTCAGGTAATTCAGTATTTCAGGAGTCCTGTTTGCTCTCTGGGTTGGAATTTCAGGTAAATCAGGATTTAAGGAGTCCTGTTTGCTCTCTGGGTTGGAATTTCAGGTAATTCAGGATTTAATGAGTCTTGTTTGTTCTCTGGGTTGGAATTTCAGGTAATTCAGTATTTCAGGTGTACTGTTTGCTCTCTGGGTTGGAATTTCAGGTAATTCAGTATTTCAGGTGTACTGTTTGCTCTCTGGGTTGAAATTTCAGGTAAATCAGTATTTCAGGATCCTGTTTGCTCTCTGGGTTGGAATTTCAGGTAATTCAGTATTTCAGGATCCTGTTTGCTCTCTGGGTTGGAATTTCAGGTAATTCAGTATTTCAGGATTCCTGTGTGCTCTTTGGGTTGGAATTTCAGGTAATTCAGTATTTTAGGAGTCCTGTTTGCTCTCTGGGTTGGAATTTCAGGTAATTCAGTATTTCAGGAGTCCTGTTTGCTCTCTGGGTTGGAATTTCAGGTAAATCAGTATTTCAGGAGTCCTGTTTGCTCTCTGGGTTGGAATTTCAGGTAATTCGGTATTTCAGGATCCTGTTTGCTCTCTGGGTTGGAATTTCAGGTAATTCAGGATTTAAGGAGTACTGTTTGCTCTCTGGGTTGGAATTTCAGGTAATTCAGGATTTAATGAGTCTTGTTTGTTCTCTGGGTTGGGATTTCAGGTAAATCAGTATTTCAGAAGTCCTGTTTGCTCTCTGGGTTGGAATTTCAGGTAATTCAGTATTTCAGGAGTCTTGTTTGCTCTCTGGATTGGGATTTCAGGTAAATCAGTATCTCAGGAGTCCTGTTTGCTCTCTGGGTCGGAATTTCAGGTAATTCAGTATTTCAGGAGTCCTGTTTGCTCTCTGGTTTTGAATTTTAGGTAATTCAGTATTTCAGGAGTCCTGTTTGCTTTCTGGGTTGGTAATTCAGGATTTCAGGAGTCCTTTTTACTCTCTGGGTTGGAATTTCAGGTAATTCAGTATTTCAGGAGTCCTGTTTGCTCTCTGAAGGTAGAAAATTGCAAAATTCTACTCAAGACCAAAGAAAATTTATATCAGTTTATAGAACATTATACAGAGCAAAATAATATCAAAAATCAGCTATAAATGAAGTATAAAATGATGCTGGTGTATAGAGTATATGTTTATGTAAAATGTAAATAAATATCTCACCTCTATACAATATGTGTAGGTTGCAGCTTAACAGTAGGAGTCTTGATTGACAGGTTGTGGACATGAGATGGGGAGTTCCTGAGGAAGCCTCAGACGATCATTCTACCTCCGCCCTTTGTCTGGCCGAAGTTCTTAATTGTCAGAAACTGTCAACAGGCCCAAACTTTGTGGTAAAAAAGGAAACATTGTAACAATGTGACAAAGTGCACAAATGACTATTCATAAAAACTTAATGATCATTTCATGTTATAAACAGATTTTTAGTGAAGTAAAGTGAAAGCTATCAAGTTTAGTTGGGTCATTTTCAATGTATTTCTTTATGCTTAATATATTCCTGGTACACATCAAATTAAATATTGAAGAATATGACATTGCATGTGATATAAAGCAAACCATCAGATTTAGTAATTATACCCCCCGCAAACGAAGTTTAGGGGGGGTATATTGGAATCAGCATGTCCGTCTGTCTGTCCGTCTGTCTGTAGACAAGATTTTGTCCGGACCATTTCTTGGAAACTGTTGGAAGGATTTGTCTGAAAATTTGTACACTTATTATTCACCATATGAAGGTGTGCACCTGGTATTTTCATTATGATTGGATAATTATTTTGCATTTTACAGGTGTTTTTTTTTCATTTTTATTATGTGGTTTTGTCTGGATCTGTTCCCAGAGACTATTGCATAGATTTGTATGAAAATTTGTACACTTATTATTTACCATATGAAGATGTGCACCTGGTATTTTCAACATTATTTGATAATTTTTCTGCATTTTACAGGTGTTTTTTTTTTTTATTTTATTTTTATTGACTTAGTCATTTCGGGTTCATGTCTAAGGTTTGAGACATAGAATCTAGAACATCTGTACAAAAATGTGAACTACAGCTTAAAACTACTCATTAGAACTAAAAAAAAAAACACAAAGTATTAAAAACAGTTTTTACATTACACAGCAGATAGTGTAAATCCATTTGTCCCTTGGGAGTAATGAGTGGACATGCATCCAGTTAAAGATTAATTAATGAGTTCAGTGTGGGAAGCTGTTAGGGCATCTCTGATCAAGCAGGTCTTATCTATATCTCAGGGGAATTGGGCAGAAAGAAATAAAGATCTCTGTTGTCTAAGTCTCTTAATTGTAATTTATGTCTGTCAAAATACAAAGTTACTAAAACCAGCCTTTTATTTTTAAAATGAGTTTGATATAAAGGTATTAAAATCAATTTGATTTTCTATAATTAATTATGATATTTTTTTTTCAACAATCAATTTGCAGTGTGTCATGTCTCACAAAGATGGCAGATAGTTGCAAACTATTTTTTCTGTGTAATAAAAAACACTGTAATTATTAGTGTTGATGTTTTATTAGGCTGCACCTTAGTTTCATTCATTTAATAAAGTGCCCCACCACAGCATGATACGCCTATCAAATATTGTTAAATTATCAGAAACAGTTTAGATTCAATTGTTTGAATGACATCTTTGCGAGACAAGGCAGTCTGCAATTTGTTGTAAAGATATAAAAATTCAAATAAAAAATGTACAATATAAAATAATTAGTTTAAATTATATTATACAATATCATATAAGTTTTAATTATTATATACAATATCAAATTAGTTTTAATTACATCAAATTTATCTTGAAAGTAAGACTAGCCAACAAGAACAATTCAATACAACACAAGCAATTAATTAAGAGACTGATTCCTTTTGCCCATTTCCCAAGAGATGTAGATAACACCTGCTTGATCAGAGATGCTCTGCCAGTTATCTCCTCACACTAAACTCATTAATTTATCTCTAATTTGACATGCAATTTTCTGCTATCAAAATTTTCCTTGACCAGTGCCTGATCATTACACCCATGGGAGAGGTGGAATTTTTGTTGTTACAGATTGCTGTAAAGAACATAATGAAAAAAATAAGACTAGTATTTTCTTGATTTAACACTTTTTTAATAAAGATACTGCAATACTCTGACATCTTTTGGGATTGTGTAATTTAAAAGTTAAAAGACATAGTTTTTTGATTCTAAGTCTAATGGTTTTCTAGTTATGATTTTTCCATATTTGGCCATAGCGTCTTTATTAAAGGTCAGAACGACATGGTTTTAATGTGCGACACACCTTCTACCCTAGATGTATCAGCTGACAAAGTTTGATAATTCTAGGCCTAATAGTATTAAAGTTATGAGCCAGACATGAAAAAGCTAACAGACGGACAAACATGAACGCTATAACATAATACGTCCCGTCGTAAGACGGACATATGAAAATATATAATGAGTAATTAAATTTTCACTGTAAATGTTTAAGGAAATTGTGAACACCTCTCACATCTAGAAAACATTAGTGATTCGGTACTTTCTCTGAAAAACCCAGCGGGGGGTATTTGTCCCTTTTGGACAGTTCTAGTTTACACAGTAAAAATAACATTATTTGTTTCAGACATTTCTGAATCAGCGACATGGATACAGGGCTTTGCAGACAGTTATTACATGGGAGGAGTTTACCCAGCTGATGGAGGCTTTGAGGACTATGGGAGAGGACCTTTCCTCATTTAATATCTGGTACAAGGAGGACACAAATTCCATTCCTCCCGTATTTGTCCTCCAGCAAATCAGCAGTATCATCCCTAATTACAAAATAAAGGTTACCTTTAACTTTTCCGTACACATAATTTATATACTATATAGCACTTCAAAACTGCCCCTAACTGAGGAGTTTATTTTTTAATGTTACTTGTTTTTTTTATACCCCACGCAACAAGTTGCGTGAGGTATAATGTTTTTGACCCGTCTGTCAGTCAGTCAGTCAGTGTGTCAGTCAGTCAGTCAGTCCGTCAGTCCTGTTTTTTTGTCAGCGTAACTCCTCATAAACCGCTGCACAGAATTTCGTCAAACTTTGCAGATATTTAGGACACAATGTGTAGATGTGCATATTACCAGGAAATTCCGATTCCTTTATTTTTTCTGGGAATTTCGACACTTTTCAACTTAGATTTTTGGCCATATCTTGAATATGGAGATGAACAGTTTGTCAGCGCAACTCCTCATAAACCAATGCACAGAATTTGGTCAGACTTTGCAGATATTTAGCACACAATGTATAGATGTGCATATTACCAGGAAATTCCGATTCCTTTATATTTTCTTGGAATTTCGGCACTTTTCAACTTAGATTTTTGGCCATATCTTCAATATAAAGATGAACAGTTTGTCAGCACAACTCCTCTTAAACCGCTGCACAGAATTTGGTCAATCTCTGTAGATATTTAGTACACAGTGTGTAGATGTGCATATTACCAGGAAATTCTGATTCCATTATTTTTTCTGGGAATTTCGGCACTTTTCAACTTAGGTTTTTGGCCATATCTTGAATATAGAGATGAACAGTTTGTCAGCACAACTCCTCTTAAACCGCTGCACAGAATTTGGACAAACTTTGCAGATATTTAGTACACAGTGTGTAGATGTGCATATTACCAGGAAATTCCGATTCCATTATTTTTGCCTTAAGAGTTTTGCCTTTTATTGAAGAAACTTTCCAGCTAGGTAATAAGAAATTCCACTGGAATCAGCTTTTTATAATGAAATTCTATGTGAAATATTTTATGACCTTAAAAGACCCCTATTGATTTTGAGATCAAAATATTAATGGTTTAACACAAACACACACTCACACACACACCATCTTCGATAGTTCTCCCCCCCCCCCCCCCCCCCCCCCTTCAAATTGGTGTGCTTTGCCTTAAATAATTTCATAAGTACAGTATATAAACAGATTCATATGACTACATCATAATTTTGTTTCCATCAATTATTTAAATGTGTAAACTGTCATGTGTTGGACATTAACAAATTGAAATCACTGAGGAATTTAAATAACAGTTTGTCAGCATAATTCCGGCACTGAATTTCCTGAAACTTTGTAGGTATTTCAGAATAATGTATAGATTTGTATATTACCAAGAAATTTTGATTCCATTATTTATCTAGAAACTTCAGCCCAGTTAAATTTGTAACATACAAAGATTTGAATGTCCTTATATGCAAGAAGTTTTAATGTGATGATTTTTTGCAAGTAATGCCCCTTTTTTGAATTATACTGTGTATTTAAAATGCACTGTGCCATTCATTACGTGTTGCATTGTCGAGTTTTGGGGAAGCGTGGGGTATGTGAGCTTGCTCACTTTTTCTTTCATTTTTTATTTATTTGTTATTTTTTCAAAAGTTTTTTTTTGCTTGCTGTTTTGAAAAAACATGTAGTTAATTTGCAGTATCTTAAATTTATTCAAAGCTGTCTTTTGCATACTTTAATTTCAATCATCAACAATCAATTTGAAAGTTGAATATAAGAAAAACAAAACAGGCAGGGCTGAATTGCCCCTTTGGGGACAGGGCCATGTACTCTTCAACTGGGAATTTTATTAAACTAAAAAAGTGGGAAAATTTGGAAATATTGATGACTTATGCCAGTATTATGTTTCTCTGTAGAGTAAAGACAGATTGTAAGGCTTATTCCCATTCCCATCTTAATGGGAATTTTTATCTTAATTTTGGGGAAAAAAAGAGACAATTGTCAATTGGGACAGGGTCCTTTTACTTTATCTGCATGCAATGGATATCCTTTCAACAGTGAGATTGTAAAGAAACTATTGTATTAATAAATACCAATTCATTCTGTGACAACAAAACTTTCTTTAGATCTTAGTTAATTGACTTTATTAGAAGAAGAAGCAATTATTAAGGTAATGGTTTTAAATCAAGGTAATGGTTTTAAATCAATGGTGCATGTGTGAGCATACATGTATAAATTCAATCCAAAAAATCATTTCACTCTCCCTTCAAAGCCAGTTATCAGATAATTGTTTATTCAATTGATTATTTTGTGGAGTAATATTTTATTAGATTTCCAAGGAAAGGATTGTTTTCAAAGAAAACACATGTTTAGTCCAGAAATTAATTATCGATGTTTTGAACATTTTCCCCAATCCTAAGTTTTTTTTTAATATTTGGGATGTTTCTTATCACTACTGAAAACTAATTTCCACTTGGTGTAACAGTAATAGTATTATGGTAAATATCAATGGTATATGCTAGCTAGATGATAATTAAACATTTATCCATAGACATAAGTATGGAAGGGAGAAGGGTGCAGCAAATATTCTAAATTATTTTTCATACAATGGGGTCTTTATATATGTAAAGAATGTAAAGAAATATAAATTTCTTTAATACAAAAGTATGCATATAGTAATTTAATTTAACTGAAATGTTAATTTTATAGATTGTTCTGAAAGTGAAACCTATATTAGTATGGTACTATCTAGAAACTTAATGCAAGTATATAGTAATTGTATTCTGAAATTTGATATCTTTGAGGTAGAATTTATTCTTTTATCTTTAATGAAACAAATATAGGCTTAGATATATTTTCAAACTATAAAGAAGAACTATAAAATATAAATGGCATTCATTTACTGCCTCACTATACAGTGCAGGAAACTAATTTTGTTACAGCATCAATGCTGATTTGAATGCTTCCTTTGCTTGCTGATTTGAATGCTTCCTTTGCTTGCTGATTTGATGCTAGTAGTCCTTATCCTGATGCTGTTTTATAATTAGGTCAATGCTACCGGAAGTAGCATCATGCTACCGGAAGTAGATAATGAATTTCAGCATTGCCGTTTAAAGCAATAAAAGTGCCTTTTACAATTATTTGATCATAATATCTCACTATGTATCAATAATGTGAATACTTTAACCAATATTCTTTCTTTCTTTTTTAATTTTTTACTGAATTAAAACTCATTGATTTTCTAATGCTAGTAGGATAATGCTGATTTTATGTAGGTCAATGCTGGTTTTATCCTTTGCTTGCTGATGCTTATCCTGGTAATGCTGTTTTTTAAATGCTGATACTGATGCTAGCTCGATCCTGATGCTACTAATGCTTATGCTGATGCTGGTTTATGTAACAAAATTAGTTCCCTGCACTGTATATCATTGGAAAATGAAACTCTAGCTAGCAACTTTTATTTCTTATTTCTATGGGTTAATTACTATTTAGCTATGAAGAAAATTCCTGATATACATGTTGCTAATGATGATAAATTATGTGTCACATAGGACCCTGAAGCCATGAGGAACTGGGAGAGAGTGGCAGAGGAAATGCGGGATAAGTTACAGAAAGCCAGTCAGCATTGTTTTGAGGAAGGAAAAATGACAGAAGAGGAAAAACACAAGTACTTCATGTCAGGTGAATATTTTTCAACCAAACATTTTACAAATCTATCAGAGAACAGCATTCAAACTTGTCACATGTTTCCTGTATTCTCCTTAAAGAATAAGATTACATGTTTGTATATACTTCAATTAATCCATGATAAAATTGCTTCTGAGATAAGACGTACATATTTTGATATCCACTATCTTCTGAATTTCATACAGACTGCTACTTGTGTGATAATTAAAATACTATTGGCAAAGGGAAATAACTTTTGATTACCTTCACAAATGCAGTAATCACTGACAAGTTTATTCTCCAGTGGTGGAAGAGAACCTTTTTAAGATTCAGAGAGTCTTAGTTTAAATTCTGGTTTTGTCCTTTGCAATTTCTCTCTTTTTTTGTTTCATTTGGTGCCATAAGCATACCCTGGAAGTGACAGGTGATGAAGACACCAGGGATGAGTCTGGGTTGGTGTGTGGGGTTCAATGTCTCAATGTCATAATGAGGCATGTTCATTCAAGAGGTAGAAACTCCCTAAAATTACAACTCGCAAATAATTGCGAGTACCAAATAAATGAACTCACAATTTCAAAAGACAACTCTCAATTTTAAAAGGAAAGCTTTTAAAAAGAATGCCAATGCGGCCATCTATCCATCTTCTAAAAAAACTTCGTAATTTTTGACAAAATCATCGGACATGGCACATGGTCGTTCATTTAAAAATGATGGATATAAACAGTAACTAAAGAGAGAAAGACTAAAACTGGATTGAAATGGATATTTTTATCCCGGGTGAAATTTACATTGAAAAAATCAACTCGCATTTTTTTGCGAGTTACAAAATTTTTAACTCGCAATTTGGATATTCTAACCCACATTTCGCAAGTTGTATATAGTGAATTTTGAACCCTGCATTCACTTGTGGCCTGGTGGCTTATTTGGCAAAAGGCCTGTTTAGAGTTTAAGGGGTCTTCTGTCAAATCCTGATTTTGTCTCCATTTTCCTTGTACAAAAACATTGAAGGGTATAGAATTTTAATATTCCTGGAAGTTCAATTATTTTCCTGCAGTATAATACTACAATGTATGAACCTAACCTGATCTGTCACAGAGGACAGATTTACACCTCTGCCTGCAGGTCTTTTTAGAAAGTTATCTATAGATGTTGGGAGGGGGGGGGGGGGGGGTTAGGTTTGCATTCACAGAATAATTTTGATCTATTTTGTTATGAGTGCTTTTAACAATGTTACTAATATTTTTTAAATCAAAATGCATTGTTTCTGCAATAGTGACAGAAGAAGAAATAGAGCAGGGAATCCTAAAGTCTCCCGGGAACCCTGTCGACCACTGCCTATGTTTTGTGAGGATTATTGAGGACATTGACAAGAATCTGGGTCATTCTAAAGCTTGGAGGTATATTGATATGACTGGTAGTACTATAAATCAGGAGGCACAGAAACTACTGAACCAGCTGAGGGAGGACAAGCTTCCGAAAGTCGTCAGCAAAGACAAGATACAAAGGTATACGGTATTCTCCGGGCTTTCCTATGTCTGTGTAAGGAAAGTGAAAGTAAATGTTGTAAAGAACAAATGAGAAAATTTGACTTGCTTTATTCCTTTAAAATTTTGTTAACTTGATAAAAAAAAATATTTTGCCTCTTTGTGGAATAAAATATTTTATCACTATGTATGAAAGATTATAGCAAAAGAAAAAAAAAGATAAAATAAGAATGAAAGAAGTAAATACATTTAATACCTTGTACTGGGTATATACCATCTTTAAAATTTACATTTCTTGTGGGAAAAAAACTATTTCTTTAGACAAGAACATGAACTGTTTTAGATCACTAGTGAGGTGGAGTGACAAAGAGGGAATAAATAGGGAGGACCACAAAGGATACCTCACAAATTTTGCTGAGCAGTTTTATGGGGGCATTAAAAGTCTGCTAGACAAATCTGTATCCATGGAAAGTGAACTGTCAAAAGACAACCTGTACATTGAGGTAATGGAATGAAAGAACTTCTGACAAAAATAAAAAGTTTATCAAGTAGCTAGAATAGTATGAAAATAATTATCTCAATAATAAATTTAGCTGATAGGTTAGCTTGCTCTCTGAGTATTATGAACCAGAATTGAACTTTGTGTGTTTTATCACTTAAAATTTGAAACAGGCATGATCACAGGTGTTTAATTATGGATTATACCATTGATGTTCTCATTGTTACCCCAAAAAGGGCCAAAATGGACCCTTAATCTATATACTAGTATGCACTGTTCTTTATTATTGATGGGGGTATACTTTTTGACTCTTCTTTTTTTATTTAATTCATTCGTTGCAGCTGCAAATAGATAGATTATTTCTTCCCAAAGTTTGAAATTTCAGTCATTGTTTACAAACAATGAGATGACATAATAAGCTTAAATAACCCTTTGATCATAGGAAACAATGTCTGCATCAACTAAACACATTGAAATTTACCCAATTTTTCCCTAGGTAATGCTTAATTGCTCTTATGTGAAATATACAGTCTTGTCACTTTTTGATAGATAATTCATAAAAAGAATATGGCATGAAGGAGGACCATTTGGATATGTGACGTCATTAATTTCATATATTTCTAAGTTTAAAGCTGAAAAAGCCTCAAAATGACTCATTTCAGGGAGTATTTTCCTTGAGAAAATAATGTTCACAGCCATTGCCGACTTCAATATTCATATAAATTATGTTAATTGTGTAAAATTCTTTGAAAAATCAATACTTCTTAAAATCTTTGTGGGCAATGCATATGCACTCTATTATCTGAAAGAAAATTTAAATTAAAATTGATGTCTTCTGCAACTTTTTAAGTAAATAGCATTAAATAGGAAGTCATATGAGAAAATGATTTGTTTGATCTTAGTGCATGGAGTTTCAATGATTTAGAAAGCATGAATTTTCATTTCTTTCATCACTTTCTGTATTCTAGAAGAATACAGGGCCTGATTTGTTTTGTTCTTTGTAATAAATAAAAAATTACCCTGGTATATGGTAAAAAATACTGCATGTATAATATTATTTGAATTTCTACTGGCATAATTATCTAGGTATTACAACACCTGACCATGGCTAAAGAGAGATGTGCCATGTTCCATGGTCGACAGGAAATCCTAGACAAAATTTCCAGCTATTTAAGAGAGGGAGAGAAGGAACCTTTCACAATATATGGTCCCTCAGGCAGTGGGAAAACATCCATCATTGCAGAGGCTGCAAGAAGGGTAGGAAACAGAGAAAATGTCATAAATGTACTAATGTGTGAAACAAGTTCTTATAGTCTCCTGTATTGATGTAAGTTTATAGAATTAATTGGGAATGAAAATGTACGACTCATTTTGCACATGTAATATAATTTGTCTTTAAAAAAAATCTCACTTGAGAAAACAAATCATATTATTCTTAATATAACTTCTAAATTTGTTCACTCTTTGCTTCATATAGGTGCCATTTGAGTATCATAAAGAAGCAGTGGTGATTCTGAGGTTCTTAGGAACCTCACCAGACAGCAGTAATCTTCGTCGTCTGCTTCGCAGTCTCTGCAGCCAGATTTTGTACAATGTGACAGGAAGTGCCGAGAATGTTCCAGAAGAGTTTGATGAATTGGTGATTCTTTTCCAAGGTCTATTGGAGGAATACAAGTCAGACAGACCACTAGTTATTCTCCTGGACTCACTGGATCAACTCACTGAAGACCATGCCGCATACAAACTCAGATGGCTGCCCAGGAAACTCAAGTCTAATGTCCGGATCGTGTTGTCTTCTTACATTGAGACTTTAGAAATAGTAACTAATTTGAAAGCTTTGTTCAGTCCTAAAAGTTTCATTATTGTTCCAGTTTTAGGAGAGGATCTTGGATTTCAAATTCTGAAAGTTTGGTTAGAAGCGAGCAATAGAACATTGACGTCAGAACAGTTTGATATTGTCCACAAGGCTTTTCAAGTTTGTAGTCTCCCTCTTTTTGTAAAGCTAGTCTTTGAGAATATTCTGGTGTGGAAGTCATATACCCCTCCTGATAAATGTGTCCTACAAACTACTTTACAAGAAAGTATATCCTCATTATTTGGACATTTGGAGAACAAACACGGAAGGATGTTTGTGGAGAGGTCCTTTGCTTACCTGACGGCTTCTTCATCAGGTCTCAGTGAACTGGAGTTTGAAGATGTCATGTCAATAGATGACACACTGCTTACAGAGGTTTTCAAATTTCAGCTTCCTCCAGTCAGAAGAATCCCCTCCCTGCTGTGGGTGAGACTGAAATATGATGTCCAGAAGTATATTGTAGATAAAGAGGTGGATGAGACCAGAGTGACATTTTGGTATCACAGACAATTCATCGAAGCCAGTCAGGAGCGCTATTTAAAAAATGCAGCCTTTGCGGCTGAGATTCACTCCAATCTAGCGGATTATTTCCTCGGAAAATGGTACAATGTGCCAAAACCATTCAAATATACTGCAGAACAAGTCAAGAAGTATAGCCTCTCTTCAGTTGATTCTGCAGCAGACAGGAAAATAGCTGACCAACCAATCAAGTTTGTTTATACAGATCAAGGCGGAAGATCACAAATTAGGTTTAACAAAAGAAAACTGAACAAACTGCCATTTCATTTGGCAAAAGCAGACAGAGAAATAGAATTAAATAACATTTGTCTGTACAATTATCATTTTGTAATTGCAAAAATCAAGGCTACATCAGTGATACAAGTTCTGAGTGATTTTATATATACCAAAACTAATAGGTCTAGTGTCTTAGAAAAAGTGTTAAAGTCTTGTCAGTCTAGTCTGCAAAAGTACCCCGATTCCCTGGCATTTGAAGTATGTGGACACATGCTGTCTTATCTGACTGAGAGAAGATCCAGTCCTGAAAAAACTCTGGTGACGGAATGTTTGAAAGTTTCAGAGGAACAAAAGAAGCCTATTCCTTTCATGATGTGTTACAATGTCCCAAGTGAAGCCCTGTTGTACAAGCTTGAGAATCAAAAGCTTCCATATGGTAACACACATGTAGCAGTATCTACTGATGGCAAACATCTTGTCGCCCTAGCAGAAAAGAACCTTGTGTTTTTCTGGGATTTGACCATTGGAGAACTTGAATGTGAGCTACAAGCTTTTAATCCAGATGAATGCAAACTGAATACTATGGGCTTCAAAAGCAGTGACAATGTGGTGTATTTTTCATCAACATATCAAAAATCAGTGCATCCTTTTATCATAGTGAATATACAGACATCAGAGATTAAGAAATCTTTGATTCTTGGGAAAAATTACCCTGCTGTTGGAATGGCTGATTCTCTCAAACATGCCTTGACTAATCAGAGGATATTTAGTCTTCATAAAGGTCATTCTGCAGATGTCTTCAATTCAGAGACTGGTCAGCATGAACACAACTTTGGTATTTCTGCAGACGACATGCTTATATCCCCAGAAGAAAAGCTTGTAGCATTTCATCTGAAATCCACAACCACTTACGTTACCTACAGTGTTAAGAATTTGGATGAACTCCACAGACTTGAAGTGGCTGGTCCACCTCTGTCCCTCTGTCTTTCCCCTACAACTAATGAGGCCTTTGTTTTGTTGAAAGATACAGGTCAGGTTCACATGGTAAACACAAACAAAGATGATGGCACTGTTGGTCAGGTCCTCAGTGAAATCAAGTCACCAGATGGTCAAAAAATTCAAGAGGCCATGATGTCTTCCAGTGGTAACTTTCTGATTCTGAGGACAGATGAGGGATTTTTCTCCTGGAATTACAAATCAAACAAACTTCACAAAGAATTCAAAATTCCAAATGCTCTTAAACCAGAACATCGAGTTTTAGATATGTTTGGAATTCTACTGCCTGATGATAAAACTTTCATTGTTGGATATGAAGGTCATCTTATTTTGTGGGATGTTGCAAAAGGTCGAATTAAAGCAAGCATAGAGGCCAGTAAGTCAAAACTAAGCTATTTAATCATCAACAATGCTAGAAGTCTTGCAGTAACTACCTCAAAAAGGAACAATTCAGTCCAGGTGTGGAATCTAAATGCCATGGAAACAACTGACTCAAAGTTTCAACCTTTGACAATGAAGACAAGTCCAAGGTATATTGATGTATGCAAGACGGGCGAATTAGCAGTAGTAAGGGGAAACTCTGCTAATGATGTGTCCATTGTGGATCTGGTTAATGGGCGAGTCAAGATGAATATATCTGAAGTGTATGACATTATGCGACCAGTGATTTCTCCTGATGGAGCTCATGCTGTTTTGCGGGAATATGATGGGGATAGTGTTATTAAAATATGGGACACTGCAACTGGAAATCTTGTATGTTCTCTTCCATTGAGCAGTTTGTTGGTGAAACATTTCAAATGTTCTAATTCCAGAGTATTGGTGAAATGTCAGGATAAAAATGACTCTACATTCAGTTTCTGGGACATCAAAACAGGAGAGAATCTATATTCCTTTAGTATGGATTATGTTAATATTGGGGAAATCATTCTGGAAATGACACATTCCGATGACGAAATTTTGGTTTCTAGAAATCAGAAAGGTGAAGATGTAGGAGCTTGTGATCTATTGCTGATAAACGTTTGCTCTGGTGAGGAACTTTTCACCTTGCCAGGTGTCAATCCATCTAGAATTCAGCCAGTTGGAGACAGTGGGTACCTGTTTCTAACAGAACAGGTCGAAGGTCAAATGCAATATCTCATCATCTTGGACACAAAAACCAGGAAAATTGTTAAAAAAGAGAAAGTAACCCCAATGCCCCAGTCGTTTCTGAGTCTTGATGCTGCAGGGCATTATGGGATTGACAGAGGATTGAATTTGTATGACTTGAAAACGCTAAAACATATACATCAGTTTGATATAGAAGAAAAGGAGGTAATGCAGAAAAATGTCAAAACCAAAGCCACGGCTCCCAAAATGATGCCTAATGGTCAGGTCGCTGTGTGGTTAAATATTCGGGGAGGGTTACTAAAAGTGGGAAGTATCAAGGACAAAATAGTCCTGAGCGTGTTTCCCGTACATAGCATTCCTATAAATTTAGATGTGTCTGCAAAGGGACTGATAATTGTTGGGTGTGAAGATGGGAGAATTATGCTGCTTCAGTTGCCAGACTATGCTGAATCCAAGGACAGGCTCACTGTGTTTATAAGTGAAGTGTCACAGAGATTAATCAGACTTTCCAAGGACGTGTACTCTGGTATGACTAAAAGGAGCAACAAACCTCAAGGACAGCAAAACAAGAAATCTAGTGTATGTGCAATAGCATAAAGGTTTAATGAAGTTCATTATTGGTATGAGGCTGTTTAAAAATTGTAAATTCGATTCTGAATTTGATAAATTGACCTCTGAACCTTCTGCATTGATTGCAAATAGGCTTATGGCTCATTATTGCTTATTCAATGTTGTCATTCACTGTAAGAAGCTTTCTTAAGTGAAATGTTATGTTTTGAGAATATTTAAGAAATTGCATAAAATCAAAAGTCTGATGCAAATAAGTTAATTATTACTTTTAGCTTGCCTCTATATGTTTTTGTCTTTTCAAAATATATTAATTTATATACTTATCCAGGTTACTCCTTTTACATTAATAACTGTTTAATACCGGTAGTTTGGGCTGTGGATATCAGCCTGGGTAGCTTATTTGGTAGAGCACCTGACTAGTGATGCAGGTGTCCGGCCGGGTTAGATTCTTGGTCCAGCTGACATTTTCTCCTTTCCTGTTACAATTGTAGATATGGTTATTTTCACTCTATGTTATTTTGCTCTTTCACACTTAAAAACAATTTTACCTCATTTTGAATTAACCAAGACACAGTTTATTAAAAGAGAATTAAATTGAGATCTCTGTTGAATTTTCCCATGCAGTTATGAATTCGCCCACTAATGAAGTGGGTGAAAATAAAATGGGAGCATAAACTTCCCTGTATACAGTAGTCTTAGAAATTTTTATTAAATAGTTATACATTTTAAATGCAGTCCAATCAAATAAACCCTTATCTTCCCTTTAAGTATACCACTGTCTAACACAGCTGTGCTAGGTAGGATTGTGAACCTTTTACATTCAGAAAGTAAGTACTACTTGAAAAAATTGTAGTTTAACACCTTATTTTAAAGATGAATTAGTTTCATGAAATATCCAGAATAAGTTTTTTTGTCCTTGACTACATGTGTAAAAGTGTGACATCCATGTGACTGAGGCCAACACTAAAAAATGATTTGTTTGATGTACTCCACTCAACCTTTAAAAGTCACCCCTACCTGATCATTTTTTAAGTACTTTATAGTTGTTGGTTCTGTGTCTCCTAGCAGTTATGTCCACTGCTAATGTTTCTGTGTATACATGTTACTCTATGTCATTTGTTATACTGTTGTGTGGCTTAAATTAAAATTTATAAGAAAATTTGTGATAAATTTGCAATTTTTCAATTATCTCAAGTCATTGCATGTGCTGTGATAAAGTTTATGAATTTACTATTTTTGTATTGCTTTAGGGTAAACCATGTATTATATTTTTGATATTTCATGTACATTAACTTTACTGATGTTACAATTCTCTATTTGATTTTCAATCTAAGTCAAGCTCATTTTGGGGATATTATTTACTGTATTTATTTTTTTTAGGTTTTAAGTTTCTTTAGCACACTTACTTACACAATAAAAAAAACCCAATTGTTTTATTTGTTATATTCCTACTTTAATAATACTAATGACAATAAATATGTTTTTTTTTTTTTTTTAAATGTGATTTGTTCATATATTGCTTTAAGAATGTATCTTTTATGGTTACCTGAGGTGTGGGAGTGGTCTAATCAATTACAAGGAGTATTAATGTGGAGGGCCTGAAGTCCAAGAGATTCCAAAATAGATGCACATTAAAACACACAAGAAGTCATCAGATATTTACTGTCAAAATTTGGCATCATTTCACTTCAAATATCCATAGAATTAAAAGTACATTATTTAGTAGAAAGGGAAAAAACTACTGCAGTCACAAATAGATAATAAGAAGGAAATAATTTAATTTCAGTTTGAATTCATTAATTAATTTTTTTTTTTTACTGAATTAAATTTGATAACCAGTTTCAATTTTTAAAATCAACTTAACTGGTCATTAACATTTTTGCATTTTAATTTACCATATATTTATCAGTTTATACTCAGGCGGTTGACATGTTTTGACTAATTTTCTCAAATGATGAAAGAGATTGACAGGTGGACTGGTAATCTTAATCAGAACTTGCAGGTTTAGGCCATTCCAAGTTTTTTCTCTGTTTAGCGACCACCCATCTTTCAAAAACCTTTACCTACCTATTTGCAAAAAGTTGAAAAAACCCTTGTCAAAAAATAAAATGCAGACTTCATAGTCATAAGAAAAAATGTCATTCAAAGGAGTTGATTTCATTTATTATATTTTTTTTCCTCATAGAGAGATCTATGTTCTTTTGCAAAATCAGGGTATTAAAATGCTTAAAATATACCTAATTAATATGACATATACATTGTATGTACACAGATCACTAGAGAAATTGGCAGAATTCAAAGATTTCGACCAGAATAATCACTTTCAGAACTCCTGATTCTCCTACAAATACACACAAAAAATCAATATCTTACTTATTGTAAAATCAAGCGAGAAAGGTTTGGCATTCAATCTGATTAAAAGGCCAGCCACCCATTCCAGCTGAAAATCTTTTTTTTATGTTTAGTGTCCATGTGTACCTTGGTTTTTGACACCCAATATCAGAAAAACAAACGAATTAATATAATGTAAAATTGGGCTTTAAGTCTAGCTCATTAAAAAATCAGAAGAAAAACAAAGAATGGTCAAATATATAGTTGCAAAAATCATTAACTTTTATAGATTCAAAATCCAAGAAGATCAGGAAACTCTGACATCTCAGAAAAAACCTAATTTCTAACATAACGGGTGACTCTTAAGGCCCATGAGCCTCTTCATTTTTTTAAAGAATGTATTCTATCATTCTAAAAGCTTCACTCTTCTCTCCAGTCTAACAATTCAAATCACTGGGTGTGACATTATAGATATAAATATCATCTTATATATTGTACATATAAATGATGAGCTTTAATAAATATTTATTTATTTTTTTTATTTTTTTTATTTTTTTTTTAAATTTTCTAAATAATTTTGTCAACAAGTTATCTCTCTTTGTCCGCGCTAGACACTGGTAAGAGTTATCTTCTCTTGATTTCAAACTCTGTCAATAGGGGAAGATACTTCCGGAGAGCTACTGAAGACAGGTATGACAAGATTTTGTTTGAAAGAATATTAGATTGTGAGATATTTTTGTGAAGTGCGATTTTGAAATATTCTTTTTATTATGATATTTATGATGGATGAAGTGTTGTTTACATTCTATTTATGAAATTAAACGTGACTATGAGCTATGCAAGGTCAAGCTATAATTATAAACCATCAGCCGTTTCTTCATCATCTATATAGTGATCTTATCGGCATGTCTCCTTGGAGATAGATATATATATATATATATATATATATATATATATATATATATATATATATATATATATATATATGATAGATTAATGCTAATGCAGCAGATTTCTATAAATGTTTAAACATGAAAACTGGAGTCTCAACTCACCCTATCCTGTTTCAGTAAAGAGTAACACACTCGTGTCGGGTAGGTGTAGATGGTTTATAACGCTAATAATTATGAAGCAGAGCAATGTGTGGTACTTAATTTCAGTTGTGGAAGAGATCTCTCAATCAAACTTTGTACCTGTTGAGGCCTATTACTTAAAAGTAAAAAGTTCACTGAATAGGAAAACTACAGTGGATTGTTAGGCCTAGCCAATAAAATACAATTATGAGAGTAAAAAATGAAATTCTGATTTGCTGAAAGAAGATATGCGTTTTTCACTAAAATGTTCATACCTTAAATTATTGCAGTTAAGAAAAAAGTAAAGGAATACAGCGCATGTTGAAATGAAGCATGTTATCACTAAACATATAAGCTTTTCTTGAAAATTTCTTTAATTTTTTTTTTTTAAATTTTTGGTGCAAAATTTGGTAATCGGTATTCTTCCATTGTCTTAACTTATTCAATTTAATCACATATCAGTTAAAAAAGTTTTATGCTAACATTTTATTATGCAGATTGATATAATATATGAATACTAAACTCATACTGAATAAATTAATATCTTCATGTGTTTGGGGGGAAATGCGTAAACATTTTTTTAAATATAGATTTCTAGATTTTGATGTTTGCAGGCTCTCTTGTACCCTTGCTAACAGCTGACTTTTCAGATAAGCTCTGTTTGGATAATGTCTTTGAATGCCTGCCAATTTTTTCCCTCAGCTATATAAAATTTATGGATTTTTGTGTGAATTTCCAAAAAATTTTGAATGATAATATCTCCTTTAAATTTGTAGAGAACTGTTGAACAGATAAACTTTTATACTTTGTGAGTATTTTATATATATATATATATATATATATATATATATATATATATATATATATATATATATATATATATATATATATATATATATATATTTGATATCTCTCTGCAGTGCACCTCTTAAAATTAAAATTTCAAAGCAATTAAAAACGACAAACAAACAAGTCTTGCATGAAACAGAGACCAGTTGCAAATTGAAATAGCAAAATGTCACAGCATTCTGTTGTGTTTGATCTGCCCAGTGAGATAAAAGATTTGTTCAGTAATGTAGAATCATTGATCTCGATTCTAATTGACATGGCTGATGCCAGACAGTTCTAGTTGGCGTTGACTCACACTTTATATTGATTTTATCCAAAGACTTAAGTTTGCATATGCACCCGGCATGTCACTTGTGTGCACATTTGTTTAATAGAATGAAATCTTTTACCCATGCTGACAAGCCTTTCTGTAGATTTAAATTGGCATTAGATGAAACATTTATATTCTTAAAGGACTCTTCTATTTGGAAATTGTAAGTTGATTCTCTGGTTATTTAGTTCAGTTTTTAATTGGAACATTGAATTCAAAGTATATTTAAAGACTTGAGTGTAACATATGGTCTATTAATATATATTGTGCACATCTTTTCTTTGTATGGTATTTTCCCGAGTCAGTAAATGAAAAGGTATTTTATGTTTATTTTGAACAAAGGCAGGCTGATTGTTTTTTTCAAAAACTAAAAGTAGAGATAGAAAATGCCCATCCTTTAAGATTGTTTAAATATCTAAACCCGACTATGCACCAGGCTGAATATCTCAATTGTATATATTATGAAAAACATAGAAAAGCATTAAGTAGACT